CTAGTTCAGTTCTAGTTCAGTTCTAGTTCCGTTCTAGTTCAGTTCTAGTTCAGTTCTAGTTCAGTTTCTAGTTCAGTTCTAGTTTACAAGGTATCTATTCTCAAATTCCACACACTGTATAGTGATTTCAAGATTAAAGGATTTCAAATCTTAAAATAAACATGTTTACTTATTAATTTATTTTATCTTGATTTGAAATATTTTCAAAACAAAATTAACCGCAACTTAAATTTGATCCTTTTTACTTTTATTTAATATTATTTAGTTTTTTATTTAAAAAAATATATATACGAATTTAAAAGGAAACCTTTAATACAAAAAATTGAAATTGATAAAACAATTTTTTTCTTCAATATAAGAAACTTTTGTAAACAAAAAACAAAATAAACTTTGCTATAAACTCTTTTTGATATAATTATATATAATTTTAAAGCTACTCTAACTTTAAGCTTTCTACTACAATTACTAAACAATTAGGATACATTTTGAAAAACAAAAACTTTATTAAAAAAAACACATCACTAAATTACAATTAAAAAATAAATAATATGTAAAAATAATTAAAAAAAATAAACAATTAAAAAAATAATTAGAAAAACCAAAAGGAGTAAAAAAACTTTAAAAACAATTGTTACTACAAAAGAAACCAGACAAACATAATTATGTAAAATAAATATAAATATTATTAAACAAATAATAGTTATTTAAACTAAAAACAAAAAAGAAAAAGGAATTGTTTTATTGTTTTTTGCATGACAAATTATTAATTATACAAATAAAAAGAAAATTAATAACAATAACAAAAAAGTAGTTAAAAAAACAAATTAATAACAGATGAAAAAAACACATACATAAATGTTAATAAATTTAAAACAATATTAATAACACAATAAAAACAACAAAAGACATTAAACAATTCCCCCCTTTTTGACCCGTCCCCCGAAAAGTAAATTTTAAATTTCATTTCACATTAATGTACATTTAGCCCTCATTTTCATTCCCTTCATTTACTTCCGGAATCATTTCGTTACACACTCTCTGTCACACATACACACATAAACACACATGTATTAGAACTAATTCGTAGTCTTCTCGATTTCCTTTTCAGGAATAATTAAACAATTTAATAAAAACAAATATAATAATAAAAAATTAAAAAAAAAAAGAAGTCTGTGGTCGATATAAATATACAAAATGTTATTAACAGACATTTAAAACAATTTCGTCACATTGACGAATTTAATTATTATAGTAAATTAATAATAAAATAAATTAATAAATGAGAAAACTAAAAAGCTAAAGAAATGAAAATAAAATAAATTAATTTAAAATTTAAGTAATAATAATTTCATAGTATAATTAAAAAAATTAAAACAAAAAACTGAAACCAAACTAATTTATGAATGAATTGAATGAAAAAATAAAATAAAAAAAAAGAAAATATTTTGAAAAATATATAAAAGTGTTTTTCTTTTGCTTTACGTCAAAAAAAGGAGACTTATTTTTGGAATCACCCATATTTTTCATAAAATCGATGATGGTGCGATTAACCCATATACATAGTTCTATTGTAGTTCTGTTCTAATTCTGTTCTAGTTCTGTTCTAGTTCTTTCGTTCTGTTCTAGTTCTGTTCTAGTTCGTTCTAGTTCTGTTCTAGTTCTGTTCTAGTTCTGTTCTAGTTATGTTCTAGTTTGTTCTAGTTCTGTTCTAGTTCTGTTTAGTTCTGTTCTGTTCTAGTTGTTCTAGTTATGTTTCTGTTCTAGTTCTGTTCTAGTTCTGTTCTAGTTTGTTCTAGTTCTAGTTCTGTTCTAGTTCTGTTCTAGTTCTGTTCTAGTTCTGTTCTAGTTCTGTTCTAGTTCTGTTCTAGTTCTGTTCTAGTTCTGTTCTAGTTCTGTTCTAGTCTGTTCTAGTGTTCTAGTTCTGTTCTAGTTCTGTTCTAGTTCTGTTCTAGTTCTGTTCTAGTTCTGTTCTAGTTCTGTTCTAGTTCTTTCTAGTTCTGTTCTAGTTTGTTCTAGTTCTGTTCTAGTTCTGTTCTAGTTCTGTTCTAGTTCTGTTCTAGTCTGTTCTAGTTCTGTTCTAGTTCTGTTCTAGTTCTGTTTATTAGTTCAGTTCTGTTCTAGTTCTAGTTCTGTTCTAGTTCTGTTCTAGTTCTGTTCTAGTTCTGTTCTAGTTCTGTTTTAGTCTGTTCTAGTTCTGTTCTAGTTCTGTTCTAGTTCTGTTCTAGTTATGTTCTAGTTCTGTTCTAGTTCTGTTCTAGTTCTGTTCTAGTTCTGTTCTAGTTCTGTTCTAGTTCTGTTCTAGTTCTGTTCTAGTTCTGTTCTAGTTCTGTTCTAGTTCTGTTCTAGTTCTGTTCTAGTTCTGTTCTAGTTCTGTTAGTTCTGTTCTAGTTCTGTTCTAGTGTTTAGTTCTGTTCTAGTTCTGTTCTATTCTGTTTATAGTTCTGTTCTTCTAGTTCTGTTCTAGTTCTGTTCTAGTTCTGTTCTAGTTCTGTTCTAGTTCTGTTCTAGTTCTGTTCTAGTTCTGTTCTAGTTCTGTTCTAGTTCTGTTCTAGTTCTGTTCTAGTTCTGTTCTAGTGTTCTAGTTCTGTTCTAGTTCTGTTCTAGTTCTGTTCTAGTTCTGTTCTAGTTCTGTTCTAGTTCTGTTCTAGTTCTGTTCTAGTTCTGTTCTAGTTCTGTTCTAGTTCTGTTCTAGTTTTTTAGTTCTAGTTCTGTTCTAGTTCTGTTCTAGTTCTGTTCTAGTTCTGTTCTAGTTCTGTTCTAGTTCTGTTCTAGTTCTGTTCTAGTTCTGTTCTAGTTCTGTTCTAGTCTGTTCTAGTTCTGTTCTAGTTCTGTTCTAGTTCTAGTCGTTCTAGTTTGTTCTAGTTCTAGTTCTGTTCTAGTTCTGTTCTAGTTCTGTTCTAGTTCTGTTCTAGTTCTGTTCTAGTTCTGTTCTAGTTCTGTTCTAGTTCTGTTCTAGTTCTGTTTAGTGTTCTAGTTCTGTTCTAGTTCTGTTCTGTTCTGTTCTAGTTCTGTCTAGTTCTGTTCTAGTTCTGTTCTAGTTCTGTTCTAGTTCTGTTCTAGTTCTGTTCTAGTTCTGTTCTAGTTCTGTTCTAGTTCTGTTCTAGTTCTGTTCTAGTTCTGTTCTAGTTCTGTTCTAGTTCTGTTCTAGTTCTGTTCTAGTTCTGTTCTAGTTCTGTTCTAGTCTGTTCTAGTTCTGTTCTAGTTCTGTTCAGTTCTGTTCTAGTTCTGTTCTAGTTCTGTCTAGTTCTGTTCTAGTTCTGTTCTAGTTCTTTCTAGTTCTGTTCTAGTTCTGTTCTAGATCTGTTCTAGTTCTGTTCTAGTTCTATTTTTTTTTTGTGTCCAAAATTTTAAATCGCCTTTAACTTTACAAAATTACAAATCGTTTTTTATAAAATATCTTTATTTTGTATAAAATATGTTTTAAAAATGCAGTTCTTTACATAATAAAATTTACAAAATTTTTGTAATAAAAAAATTCAACTAAAATACTTAATTACATATAAATTTAAAATCATTCTTAAGTAAAACATTTACTGAGAACAACACAACCAAATGCCATAATTCCAAAGATACAGCCATTATTTGAAGAACCTAATTTGGGCACCTGGCTAAATAATAGTTCTGTTCTAGTTCTGTTCTATTGTTCTAGTTCTTTCTAGTTCTGTTCTAGTTCTGTTCTAGTTCAGTTCTAGTTCTGTTCTAGTTCTGTTCTAGTTTAGTTCTGTTCTAGTTCTGTTCTAGTTCTGTTCTAGTCTGTTCTAGTTCTGTTCTAGTTCTGTTCTAGTTCTGTTCTAGTTTGTTCTAGTTCTGTTATGTTATGTTCTATGTTCTAGTTCTGTTTCTAGTTCTGTTCTAGTTCTGTTCTAGTTTGTTCTAGTTCTGTTCTAGTTCTGTTCTAGTTCTGTTCTAGTTCTGTTCTAGTTCTGTTCTAGTTCTGTTCTAGTTCTGTTCTAGTTCTGTTCTGTTCTGTCTAGTTCTGTTCTAGTTCTGTTCTACTTCTGTTATTCTGTTCTTTCTGTTCTAGTTCTGTTCTAGTTCTGTTCTAGTTCTGTTCTAGTTCTGTTCTAGTTCTGTTCTAGTTCTGTTCTAGTGTTAGTTCTAGTCTGTTCTAGTGTCTGTTCTAGTTCTGTTCTAGTTTCTGTTCTAGTTCTGTTCTAGTTTCTGTTTCTAGTTCTGTTCTAGTTCTTAGTTCTAGTTCTGTTCTAGTTTCTGTTCTAGTTTCTGTTCGACTTCTGTTCTAGTTCTTGTTTCTATTTCTGTTCTAGTCTGTTCTAGTTCTGTTTCTAGTTCTGTTCTAGGTTCTGTTCTAGTTCTGTGCTAGTTCTGTTCTGTTCGTTCTAGTTGGTTCTAGTCTGTTCTAGTTCTGTTCTACTTCTGTTCTAGTTCTTGTCTAGTTCGGTTCTAGTTCTGTTCGAGTTCTGTTCTAGTTCTGTTCTAGTTCTGCTTCTAGTTCTGTTCTAGTTCTGTCTAGTTCTGTTCTAGTTCTGTTCTAGTTCTAGTTCTGTTCTTGTTCTAGTTCTGTTCTAGTTCTGTTTCTAGTTCTGTTCTAGTTCTGTTCTAGTTCTGTCTCGTTTCTGTTCTAGTTCTGTTCTAGTTCTAGTTCTGTTCTTGTTCTAGTTCTAGTTCTGTTCTAGTTCTAGTTCTGTTCTAGTTCTGTTCTAGTTCTGTTCTAGTTCTGTTCTAGTTCTGTTCTAGTTCTGTTCTAGTTCTGTTCTAGTTCTGTTCTAGTTCTGTTCTAGTTCTGTTCTAGTTCTGTTCTAGTTCTGTTCTAGTTCTGTTCTAGTTCTGTTCTAGTTCTGTTCTAGTTCTGTTCCAGTTCTGTTCTAGTTCTGTTCTAGTTCTGTTCTAGTTCTGTTCTAGTTCTGTTCTATTTCTGTTCTAGTTCTGTTCTAGTTCTGTTCTAGATCTGTTCTAGTTCTGTTCTAGTTCTATTTTTTTTTTGTGTCCAAAATTTTAAATCGCCTTTAACTTTACAAAATTACAAATCGTTTTTTATAAAATATCTTTATTTTGTATAAAATATGTTTTAAAAATGCAGTTCTTTACATAATAAAATTTACAAAATTTTTGTAATAAAAAAATTCAACTAAAATACTTAATTACATATAAATTTAAAATCATTCTTAAGTAAAACATTTACTGAGAACACACACAACCAAATGCCATAATTCCAAAGATACAGCCATTAATTTGAAGAACCTAATTTGGGCACCTGGCTAAATAATTGCTTACGTTCCTCGGCATAGGCTAGAAAATCTAAACCGTAATGTAGAATTAATTTTGATAAAATTTCAACATCCGATTCGGCACGATGTAGATTAATGGGTTCCTTATTAAAGCAACGCTTATAAATATTGCCCAATTGATAGACACCTTTAGGAGGATATTTTGTTTTTGGCGTAAAATTATCAGCAAATAATGAGCGTCTTACACATAAAGAAACGGAACGCTTTTTAGCAGGAGAATCACTATCTTGTAGGGTATCAGTTGCATTTCCATTTTCTGTTGAGGTATTATAAGTACGTTTTTCAGCCTTCTTTTTCCTCTGAGGAGTGGTTTCATTATCACGTTGCCAATTAATTTGGGAATTCTCTTCCAACGGATCACTCGTTATGGTATTAAGAACTTCTAATTCCTTGTTGGTTACTGGTTCGCTTTCTACTATTTCCTTGTCCTTAGCCTCTAGTATGGATGAGTTTTTTTTAGTTTCCTTAATTTTTTCATGCTTTTCATCGAGTTCCCTAAAAGCTTTTAAAGAATCCACACAAAATATTGAAGCTGGTAGGGACTGCACGGTAGATACAATAAAATAGATGATTTTGTTTGGAAATAATAACAAATTTTTAATAGTATTTACCTTATTTATTTTGTCATAAACATAACGAATAATAGGATAATCAAATGTCCAGCCATTATGGGCCACCATGCAAATGGGTTTCTCTAGACGTTCCAGAAAGAGATTGAAACATTCAGCCGTACGTAAATCAAAAGGTGACTCATGTTCTAGCATATCATTACTAAGACCTGTGTGGATCAAAACAAATATATTTTTTGAACCATTTAATGAAGAATTAAGAACTGTACTAGAGCAGAACTAAAACAGAACTAGAACAGAACTAGAACAGGACTAGAACAGAACTAGAACAGAACTAGAACAAAACTAGAACAGAACTAGAACAGAACTTGAACAGAATTAGAACAGAACTAGAACAGAACTAGAACAGAACTAGAACAGAAACTAGAACAGAACTAGAACAGAACTAGAACAGAACTAGAACAGAACTAGAACAGAACTAGAACAGAACTAGAAACAGAACTAGAACAGAACTAGAACAGAACTAGAACAGAACTAGAACAGAACTAGAAAGAACTAGAACAGAAACTAGAAAAAACAGAACAGAACTAGAACAGAACTAGAACAGAACTAGAACAGAACTAGAACAGAACTAGAACAGAACTAGAACAGACTAGAACAGAACTAGAACAGAACTAGAACAGAACTAGAACAGAACTAGAACAGAACTAGAACAGAACTAGAACAGAACTAGAACAGAACTAGAACAGAACTAGAACAGAACTAGAACAGAACTAGAACAGAACTAGAACAGAACTAGAACAGAACTAGAACAGAACTAGAACAGAACTAGAACAGAACAGAACTAGAACAGAACTAGAACAGAACTAGAACAGAACTAGAACAGAACAGAACTAGAACAGAACTAGAACAGAACTAGAACAGAACAGAACTAGAACAGAACTAGAACAGAACTAGAACAGAACTAGAACAGAACTAGAACAGAACTAGAACAGAACTAGAACAGAACTAGAACAGAACTAGAACAGAACTAGAACAGAACTAGAACAGAACTAGAACAGAACTAGAACAGAACTAGAACAGAACTAGAACAGAACTAGAACAGAACTAGAACAGAACTAGAACAGAACTAGAACGAACAGAACTAGAACAGAACTAGAACAGAACTAGAACAGAACTAGAACAGAACTAGAACAGAACTAGAACAGAACTAGAACAGAACTAGAACAGAACTAGAACAGAACTAGAACAGAACTAGAACAGAACAGAACTAGAACAGAACTAGAACAGAACTAGAACAGAACTAGAACAGAACTAGAACAGAACTAGAACAGAACTAGAACAGAACTAAACAGAACTAGAACAGAACAGAACTAGAACATAACTAGAACAGAACTAGAACAGAACTAACAGAACAGAACTAGAACAGAACTAGAACAGAACTAGAACAGAACTAGAACAGAACAGAACAGAACTAGAACAGAACTAGAACAGAACTAGAACAGAACTAGAACAGAACTAGAACAGAACTAGAACAGAACTAGAACAGAACTAGAACAGAACTAGAACTAGAACAGAACTAGAACAGAACTAGAACAGAACTAGAACAGAACTAGAAACAGAACTAGAACAGAACTAGAACAGAACTAGAACAGAACGAGAACAGAACTAGAACAGAACTAAACAGAACTAGAACAGAACTAGAACAGAACTAGAACAGAACTAGAACAGAACTAGAACAGAACTAGAACAGAACTAGAACAGAACTAGAACAGAACTAGAACAGAACTAGAACAGAACTAGAACAGAACTAGAACAGAACTAGAACAGAACTAGAACAGAACTAGAACAGAACTAGAACAGAACTAGAACAGAACTAGAACAGAACTAGAACAGAACTAGAACAGAACTAGAACTGAACTAGAACAGAACTAGAACAGAACTAGAACAGAACTAGAACAGAACTAGAACTAGAACAGAACTAGAACAGAACTAGAACAGAAACTAGAACAGAACTAGAACAGAACTAGAACAGAACTAGAACAGAACTAGAACAGAACTAGTAGAACAGAACTAGAACAGAACTAGAACAGAACTAGAACAGAACTAGAACAGAACTAGAACAGAACTAGAACAGAACTAGAACAGAACTAGAACAGAATTAGAACAGAACTAGAACAGAACTAGAACAGAACTAAATCTTAACAAAAACTGAACTGGAGCTGAACTAAACATTCATTTCACAAAACTGAACTAAACAAAAACGAAAAATACCCTACAATTTTTAACTAACCTGTCTCACGTTCAGCTATTGGATTAATCATACGCATTGGATTTATCATCAGCGTTATCTTATTCAGGACGCGTGGCAGTTCTGGTGGTTGCTGATCGAAACCCTCAACTCCCTCCTCGGGCGTAAGATCTTTTAGCACTTCCTTAGTGTCTACAGTATCTTTGTCGGTCAGACATTTGGCTGAGAAGGCATAAACAGAAAGTTCCGTGATGGCACAAGTATTAAATTGTTGTGATGGCAGTCCATTTGTTTCCAAATCCAAAACGACAAACGTTTTAATATCACCTGCTTCAGACATTGTAGGAATTAACAAGTGACGTGTGTGTCTATTGGTTTGATGTTTGATAAACAACTAAAACATCACAAAATATTAATTTTTTTATAATAAAACGAAGGGGCAAGGAATTTCACAATTAATTAAATGCATTCATCCAAAATAAATCCATACGAAATAATCTTAGTTGTGAAATGCAAGCAATGAAGGGCGAATTGTTTATTTTTTATGTATTGAATTTGACAGCGTGAATTTTAAGAATGTGTTGTCATATATATGGAGTTTGACAGTTCTGATGATAAGTTTTGTCCACCAAAATAATCAGCTGTTAAAATGAGACCACCTAATAAGAGTTGGAATTGGCATTCACCCTAAAATGGTAGCATGTTTAGAAATTGTTTGTAATTGGAACCACAACCACTGGCGATAATAAGTTTTCAAAACGATAGAAACAAAAGCAGTTGCTTAAATTACCTTTTATATGTCCAATTCACAAGCCTCGTGTATCTACGTATCGTGTGTATTTTAGTATTAGTTTACACTTGTGTATAAATGTTGTTGGTAATTTCAATTAAAAAAGCTCGTATAACTTCACGTTTGTTTTTCATATGTTTATTTATTTCGTATTCAATGTCAAACTATCATTCTCATGTGAATGCCCAATTTTAAAGAAGATAAAACAGTAGAAGAATAATTTCATAAAGTAAACATTTGAGAAAGTGTTTTAAAGTGAAATAAAATGAAAAATAATTCATATTTGTGCTATAATTAATTTAGTTTTCAATGTAATTGTATTTTTATAAATATTGAAGATGTTTTTCTTTCTTTTTTACAATACAATTGGCTGTTCACAAGCAGATATCGGAATTCTGTATTTTAATAAACGATACAAAATACAAAGACTAGTTGTGAATTGGACAATAGAATCCGCTAATAATGAAAAACATATAAGAATTTGTATAATTTACAATAATTTTTTCATAATCTTTATTTTATATAAAAAAATGTGTGAATATATTAAAAAATTGCAATACCTACATTGCACTTTAATTAAAATGTTTTATGTATAGGAGAGGGAAACACTGTATAAGAGTACCTTGCTAATTAGTTGAGGAACCCAATTTGGGAACCTCTACAAACAATTGTTTACGTTCCTCGGCATAGGCTAGAAAATCTATACCATAATGCAAAATTAATTTTGTTAAAACTTCAACATCCATTTCTGCACGATGCAAATTGATCGGTTCTTGTTTGAAACAACGCCTATATATATTACCCAACTTGTAAACACCTTTGGCCGGATATTTTGATAAAGTAAAATCATCAGTAAATAAGGCACGTTTAAGGCGCAATTTTTTTGAAGGCTCATCAGTTTTCTTTAATGATATCACTTCATTTATTAATGAATTGAAATAATGTTCTTTGGTTTCTTTCCGTTTCTTGCGAGGAGTAGTTTCATTAATTTTTTGCCAATTTATTTGGGAGTTAAGTTCAAGTAAATCCAAAAGATCTTTCGTTCCATTGTCCGAAGTCTGATCGTATGTTCTTGGTTCTTCTTTTTTCTCCTCTAGCATGGACATAACATGTATTGCATTATTAATTATGTTATACTTTTCATCTATTTCACGAAAAGCTTTAAGAGAATCCACACAAAATATAGAAGAGGGAAATAACTGCAAATGTACATACATAAAACAAAATTTAATTAATTTTCTGAAAATAAATATAAAGGATTGTAGGTTCGACTAAAGCTTTCGTTCAATTCTATTTCGGTCCTAATTCTAGATCTGTTTAAGACTAGAACTGAACTAGTTTAGTTTTAGTTCAGCTCTACATCAGTATTAGTTCTATTCAATTCTAGTTTAATTCTAGTTCAGTTCTAGTTCAAATAAAGTTCAGTTCTAGTTCAAATAAAGTTCAGTTCTAGTTCAATTCTAGTTCTAGTTCAGTTCTAGTTCAGTTCTAGTTCAGTTCTAGTTCAGTTCTAGTTCAGTTCTAGTTCAGTTCTAGTTCAGTTCTAGTTCAGTTCTAGTTCAGTTCTAGTTCAGTTCTAGTTCAGTTCTAGTTCAGTTCTAGTTCATTTCTAGTTCAGTTCTAGTTCAGTTCTAGTTCAGTTCTAGTTCAGTTCTAGTTCAGTTCTAGTTCAGTTCTAGTTCAGTTCTAGTTTGGTTCTAGTACAATTCTAGTTCAGTCCTTGTTCAGTTCTAGTTCAGTTCTAGTTCAGTTCTAGTTTAGTTCTAGTTTAGTTCTAGTACAATTCTAGTTCAGTCCTTGTTCAGTTCTAGTTCAGTTCTAGTTCAGTTTTAGTTCAGTTCTAGTTCAGTTCTACTTCAGTTCTTGGTCAGTTCAGTTCTAGTTGAAATTTAATTTTATCTGAAATATAATTAAAAATTTTCACAATTTATCTTTACCTTATTCAACTTTTCGTAGACATAGCGGATTATAGGATAGTCATGTTCCCAACCATTTTGTGCCACTAGGCATATCGGTGCCTTTAGGCGCTCTAGAAAAATGTTTATACAGTTAGCAGTGCTCTCATCGAATGGTGATTCATTTTCCAGCATTTCATTATTTAGACCTGTAAAACAATTTGCGGTTACATATTTTAAATATAGCTTTTTTAATTATAAGTTATTGAAATAGGATAAATCTCCTAATTTTAAAAACAAAAGAATATTCACACGTACATACTATGTATGTACATATGTACGCATATATGGTAAACACACACCTGTTACTTTTTCACTTATGGAACTAATTGGAACACCTGGTCGCACCATTAAGGTAATTTTATTCAGAACGCGCGGCAAATCCGGAGGCTGCGCATTAAATCTCACCTCCTCCTTACTGGCACCTCTTAGAAACAATCTACTGTAATCATCCTTATTAATAAGACACTTGGCTGCGATGGCATAAAGTGAAATTTCTGTAATGGCACATTTGTTAAATTGCTCTCTTGGTAATCCATTAGTTTCTAAATCCAAAATAACAAAAGTTTGAATTTGATCCTTTTCAGACATTTCTTTTTTTTAAGCCAAACAAGCGAAATATGAGCAATTTGTTTAAGAACTAAAAACATTGCAAAATATTGTTTATTATTTATATTTTTAAGATAAACAATTAACTTAAAGCAAATCTTTGTTAGATGATAGCCGTGGTAATTTCAGACAATGGCGGGGAAATTATTGTTTTTTTATATATCGACTTTGACAGTCGGGATTGCGAGAGTTTTGTTTGTTTTTATATGGAATTTGACAGTTTTGTATGAAAAAAACGAAACAGCTGTTAAAGTGTACTCGTCTTATATGAATGTGAAATTTTGCAAAAAGCATTCTCATTAAAATGATAGTTTAGTTAAAGGAAACTAAAAGCAACTGTTTTATCAAATAATTGCTCATAAAAAATCAAAAATGATGATGAGTCATTTAGTAAAAAAATTAATAAATAATAATGCATACACAAAAATTCCAAAAAAAAACGAGAATAGATTAGTAGGAAAACCCAATATACATGAAAACCGGAATTTCAACTATGTATAACATAACGGGAACCACAATTGCTTGAAGTCACAGAAAGAGTTGTTCTATAGAAAGAACAATCTTCCTTAGGAAGAAAATTTTTTCGATAGAAAAATTGTCCTCCTAAGTTAGTTAGTTAGGAGAAGCGCTTTATAAAGAACAAGTAAGAGTTCTATACTCGGCTGTGCCGAATCTTATATACCCTTCACCATGATGTGTTAAAAACCAGTCAGTACCAAATGTAAAACGGTAACGTACATAAAAGTCCCCTTTTATAGGTTCTCACTTAATCCTAGAGCCTGGATTAAGTGATACTTAATTTCATGTTTCTAGGTTCAATATTATAGAAATTTCAAAAAGTACCTTTTGAAGTACGAAAAAGTACCCTTTTATAGGTTCTCACTTAATCCAGGCTCTACATACTTAATTTCACGTTTCTAGGTTCAATATTATAGAAATTTCAAAAAGTACCTTTTGAAGAACGAAAAAGTACCAAAAAGTCCCCTTTTATAGGTTCTCACTTAATCCAGGCTCTACATACTTAATTTCATGTTTCTAGGTTCAATATTATAGAAATTTCAAAAAGTACCTTTTGAAGAACGAAAAAGTACCAAAAAGTCCCTTTTATAGGTTCTCACTTAATCCAGGCTCTACATACTTAATTTCATGTTTCTAGGTTCAATATTATAGAAATTTCAAAAAGTACCTTTTGAAGAACGAAAAAGTACCAAAAAGTACCCTTTTATAGGTTCTCACTTAATCCAGGCTCTACATACTTAATTTCATGTTTCTAGGTTCAATATTATAGAAATTTCAAAAAGTACCTTTTGAAGAACGAAAAAGTACCAAAAAGTCCCCTTTTATGAGTTCTCACTTAATCCAGGCTCTACATACTTAATTTCATGTTTCTAGGTTCAATATTATAGAAATTTCAAAAAGTACCTTTTGAAGAACGAAAAAGTACCAAAAAGTACCCTTTTATAGGTTCTCACTTAATCCAGGCTCTACATACTTAATTTCATGTTTCTAGGTTCAATATTATAGAAATTTCAAAAAGTACCTTTTGTAGAACGAAAAAGTACCAAAAAGTCCCTTTTTATAGTATCTCACTTAATCCAGGCTCTACATACTTAATTTCATGTTTCTAGGTTCAATATTATAGAAATTTCAAAAAGTACCTTTTGATTAAAGAAAAAGTACCAAAAAGTCCCCTTTTATAGGTTCCCACTTAATCCGGGCTTTACATATTTAATTTCATGTTTCTAAGTTCAAAATTATAGAAATTTCAAAAAGTACCTTTTGAAGAACGAAAAAGTACAAAAAAAATCCCCTTTTATAGGTTCTCACCTAATCCGGGCTCTACATACTTAATTTCCTGTTCCTAGGTTCAATATTATAGAAAATTCAAAAAGTACCTTTTGTAGAACGAAAAAGTACCAAAAAAATCCTCTTTTATGTGTTCGCACCTAATCCGGGCTCTACATACTAAATTTCATGTTTCTAGCCAATAACAACATTCTGCTTCGTTCGTAACGTGACGTCATGCTCAGCTTTGTTTTTATAAAGAAGTGTACAATAACAAAATTTACCGTATGATTATGTATTTTGTTGTTGTTGTTTACAGTTTCTGTCTGAGCATGAATAAAAAATCTAAATTTTTCATGAAATTTTCAGAGGTGGTCTCGGATTTTTGCTCATATCTCCGCTATTTATGGGCCGATTCGGCTGATTTTAAATAGCGTTCTATTCGATCGTATTTCCAATAGAATTATTGAAAATTCGGACCTCGCAGATATCTGGGGTCTTCTGAAAACTGATTTCAACATACACACAGACAGACAGACAGACGGACAGACAGACGGACAGACGGACATGGCTAAATCGACTCCGCTATCTATAAGGATCCAGAATATATATACTTTATAGGATCGGAAAATTATATTATAGAAATTACAAACGGAATGACAAACTTATATATACCCTTCTCACGAAGGTGAAGGGTATAAAAACAGTAGTTTTTATTTAAATATAACGTTTCCGTCACACAAAAAACAACTTTGTTTTTCATTTACTCTCTTCTCATATTAAATGCTTGTTCTTATATCTTCCAATGTACTTTGCATGATTAACACTGTTTCATCAAAACAAACTTTTGAGGCGAATAGAAATTAAAACAAACCGCAAAAAACAATTCCCATACAACAACAATCCCATCTACAATTATTTGCATTAATTAGAAAACATTTGTCGTTTGTTTTTAAATTTTATATTGCATTAATATATAATTAATAAATAATTTTCTTCCTGACAGTGTAAAAAATTGGAAAATTTTCCGTAAATAAAGGAAACTTGCCAAGATGCCAAGCGAAATAATAACTTTACAACTAGGACAGTGCGGTAATCAGAGTAAGTTTTATTTTATAAATTTCATTCATTAATTTCGTAAGGGTGCGGTATTTTGAATGGAATTAAGAATTTATAAAAATCTTTTTATAACCTAGTTGGTTTTGAATTTTGGAAACGTTTGTGTCTGGAGCATGGCATTTCACCTAGTGGAGTGTTAGAGGATTTTGCTACAGATGGTGTTGATCGCAAGGATGTATTCTTTTACCAGGCTGACGATGATCATTATATACCACGTGCCGTTCTTTTGGATTTGGAGCCGCGAGTTATACACACCATTATGAGTTCACCCTATGCCAAGGTTTGTTTTTTTCATATTTTCTTTATTAAGGTTAGGAATTTATTTATCCTTTTCATACTTAGTTATACAATCCCGAAAATGTTTACTTGTCTAAACATGGTGGTGGTGCCGGCAACAATTGGGCTTCTGGCTATAGTCAGGGTGAAAAGTTACAAGAGGAAATTTTTGACATTATTGATCGTGAGGCAGATGGCAGTGATTCCTTGGAGGGTTTTGTTCTATGCCATTCTATAGCTGGTGGTACTGGTTCCGGCATGGGCTCATATATTATGGAACGGTTGTCTGATCGTTTTCCTAAGAAGCTTATACAAACCTACAGTGTTTTTCCCAATCAAGATGAGATTAGTGATGTTGTAGTTCAACCTTATAATTCAATGTTGACTTTACGCAGATTGACCAGTTGTGCCGATTGTGTGGTTGTTTTGGATAATACAGCTTTAAATCGTATTGCTACCGATCGCTTGCATATACAAAATCCTAGTTTTTCACAAATCAATACTTTGGTCTCGACTATAATGTCGGTTAGCACTACCACATTACGTTATCCTTCGTATATGAATAATAATTTGATTGGTTTAACTGCGCCTTTAATACCAACTCCTCAATTGCATTTCCTAATGACTGGGTATACACCTTTGACTACGGATAATGATGTAAGTAGAAATTAATGAACGACTTTTTCAAGACTTCTTTACTAGAACTGAACTAGAACGGACATAAAACTGAAACAGAACTAGAGCATATTATACAAAAATTCTTTCTTAGAAATAATCTATTTCTAGAATTATTTATATTCCTTGTTTTAGCAAACCGTTAATGTACGCAAAACTACGGTACTCGATGTTATGCGTCGTTTGCTGCAACCGAAAAATATGATGGTCTCCACAGGTCCCGACAAGACCAATCATCATTGCTATATCTCTATATTGAATATAATCCAGGGTGAAGTAGATCCCACACAGGTGCACAAATCTTTGCAGCGTATACGTGAACGTAAGCTGGCACAATTTATACCCTGGGGACCGACTAGCATACAAGTGGCTCTCTCACGTTCCTCTCCCTACGTACAGAGTAGTCATCGTGTTTCGGGTCTTATGTTGGCCAATCACACCAGTATTTGTTCTCTCTTCGAAAGGGCCCTTAGTCAATATGATAAATTGAAGAAACGTGGTGCCTTTTTGGATCAATTTCGCCGTGAGGATATTTTCAAGGATGATCTATCCGAATTGGATGATTCACGTGATGTGGTGGACTGTTTAGTGCAGGAATATGAAGCTGCCACACAGCCCAATTATTTACAGTGGTCAGCTAAAAAAGGTCATGAGGAATAATTTTTGAAAATAGAGAGAGTGATATTGAAATGATATTAACGTTCAATTTTGTTTGTTTTTTTTACCAGTGACTAAATTTAATATAAGTTTTTTTTAATTGCCATATTTTTAACTCGAATTTTTGCGTATTTGTACGTTTTTTTTTTTTTTTGTACGTTCATTTTTTTACATAAATATGTATTTAATCATTTGTTCATTGTTGTTTTAGTGATCTTTGCACATGTTTGTATTGTTCAAATTATTACAAATAAACAAAAAAAAAATTCACTTAAGACACTACTGTTAACATGAAATAAAATTTCTTTGAAAAATTTAAATGAATTTTATGTGAGTGGATTTATTTATATAATTGTTTATACAAAGTTGGTTTGAACAGGTACTGCTGCCTTTCTAAAGTATATGTTTTTTTTTTTACTTCTTTTGGACAACTTATTAGTGTAAAGGATCATGTTCATGAAGATCGAACTCTACGTTTTTCAAGAGAAAAACTGAGGTGCGATATGGTTTGATCTAGTATTCAAGACTTTTCTGCTCTTTGGAAGGAAGACCACTATTCCGGTTTGAACGATAATTAAACTCATAACATTAACTAGGTTAAAGACTATACTTGACTAGACTGTATACTGGACTGTACAGATTATATATTAGACTATGGACTATACTTTAAACTAAAATATGGACAATACTACACATTAGACTTTAGACTAGACAGTAGGTTATACTATAGACTGGACTATAAACAAGACTAAAAGACTAGACTATAAACTAGTCTGTAGACTAGACTATTGCTAGACTAGGCTATAGACTTGAAAATAGACTACACTATAAACTTGACTATGGGCTAAACAATAGACTAGACTATAGACTAGATTGTGGGCTATGGAATAGACGATAGACTAGACTGTTGACTAGAATATATACTAAACTATAGACTAGACTATTTACTGGAATATAGGCTAGCCTAAACTATTGACTATACTATAGACTTGACTACAAACTAAACTATAGACTATAAACTATATAGGCTATAGATTAAACTATAGACTAAACTATAGACTACACTATAGATATTGACTATAGACTTGAGTATAGACTAGACTATAAATTAGACTATAAATTAGACTATAGACTAGACTACAGGCTAAAATATAGACTAGACAATAGGTTTGACTATAGACTAAACTATAGACTAGAATATAGACTAGAATATAGACTAGACTATAGACTACACTATAGACTCGACTATAGACTAGACCATAGTCTAGAATATAGACTGGAGTATAGACTAGTCTATAGACTAGACTATAGACTATACTATAGACTAGACTAGACTATAGACTAGACCATAGACTAGACTATAGACTAGACTATAGACTAGACTAGACTATAGACTAGACTATAGACTAGACTATAGACTAGACTATAGACTAGACTATAGACTATATGTAGACTAGACTATATGTAGACTTGACTATAGACTAGACTATAGACTAGACTGTAGACTAGACTATAGACTAGACTATAGACTAGACTGTAGACTAGACTATAGACTAGACTGTAGACTAGACTATAGACTAGACTGTAGACTAGACTATAGACTAGACTATAGACTAGACTGTAGACTAGACTATAGACTAGACTATAGACTAGACTATAGACTAGACTATAGACTAGAATATAGACTAGAATATAGACTAGACTATAGACTAGACTATAGACTACACTATAGACTTGAGAATAGACTCGACTATAGACTAGACCATAGTCTAGAATATAGACTGAAGTATAGACTCGACTATAGACTAGACTACAGACTAGTCTATAGACTAGACTATAGACTATACTATAGACTAGACTATAGACTAGACTATAGACTAGACTAGACTATAGACTAGACTAGACTATAGACTAGACTAGACTATAGACTAGACTAGACTATAGACTAGACTATAGACTATATGTAGACTAGACTATATGTAGACTAGACTATAGACTAGACTATAGACTAGACTATAGACTAGACTATAGACTAGACTGTAGACTAGACTATAGACTAGACTATAGACTAGACTGTAGACTAGACTATAGACTAGACTATAGACTAGACTATAGAATAGACTATAGACTAGACTATAGACTAGACTATAGACTAGACTATAGACTAGACTATAGACTAGACTATAGACTAGACTATAGACTAGAATATAGACTAGACTATATGTAGACTAGACTATATGTAGACTAGACTATAGACTAGACTATAGACTAGACTATAAACTAGACTATAGACTAGACTATATAATAGACAATAGACTAGACTATATAATAGACTATAGACTAGGATATAAACTAGACTATAGACAAGACTATAAACCAGACTATAGACTAGAATATAGACTAGACTATAGACTAGACTATAGACTAGAATATAGACTCGACTATATGTAGACTAGACCATAAACTAGACTATAGACTAGAGTATAGACTAGACTATAGACTAGACTATAGACTAGACTGTAGACTAGACTATAGACTAGACTATAGACTAGACTATAGACTAGACTATAGACTAGACTATAGACTAGACTATAGACTAGACTATAGACTAGACTATAGACTAGACTATAAACTAGACTATAGACTAGACTATATAATAGACTATAGACTAGACTATATAATAGACTAGACTATAGACTAGGCTATAAACTAGACTATATGAGGACTATTTATCAAGAGTATATAAGTAAGAAAAAGTGTCGATATCAAAAGTGCTGAGAAAAGTACTAAAGTACTGAATGTTCCATGCCTGGTTTGTGCTTAATTTTAAGACCAGATTTAACTTATTTTACAGGATTCAAGGGATTTCGGATTGAGGCGATATATAAAGAATAAAAGTTTCACTTTAGTTCCTTTGCAAACAAAATAAACACAAAATGTTTTGTATTTTATATTTCGCGAATAAAGTATTTCTTTTATTTATATTTTTTCCACTTTTTTTTTATTTTATATTTTTGTTTGTTTTTTGTTGTATTTTGAAATTAAAAATGTAGTTATAATTTTTATTACAAGTTATTATATAATTTTATTTTTTTTTATACTTTTATTATGTTTTAATGCTAAATTATAAAACACTTGTTTGTTTGTTTGTTTTCCACTTAGAATTTATGACTGTACAAAATAAACATACTAGGATAAAAAGTTTCATTATAATTTACAAAAGAAGAATTGTTTTTTTGTTTGAAGCTTAAGTTTATGCAATGAATTTATATGGTAAGTTGGCTAAGTTTTAAACGATGAAATGAAATTAATATTTGTTCAAGTAGAAAATAAATAAGTTTTTATAAAGTTTTTTTTAGCAAATAATTTTGTTTTACTACTGTGGGGTAAAAAATATTTCAATATCTTTTTAAAACAGAAAAAAAAATAGTTTGTTATAAGAAAAACAAGTGTGCTAAAATAAAAACTAGTTAAAAACAAAAAAAAAAAAAGTTAGCCAAAAGATCTATCCAATTTTTTTTTTTTTTTTAATATTTTTGTTTGTTTTCGGTTTTATTTAAGCGTTAAAAATTCCAATTTGGAATTTAATAATTTTTAATATAAATAAATGTTTTGTTGTTGTATTATTTTATAGTTTATAGAAATTTCCTTAACTTAACTTAAAATGTACTTTATACAGTATTATTTTTGTAGAAATTATTTTCTAAATTTCTAAAACATATTTGTATGTATTTATATAAAAAAAAAAAAAAAATAACTTAACATAAAAGTTAACAACTCGTATGTCAAAAAATAAAGTACTTAAAAACTAAACTTAAAAGTTTAAACACAAGCTTAAATGAATTAATGGTTTTCAGTTTAAAACAAAAGTGTTTGAGAGTTATTTTACACAAAATTTCTTTCTCTAATGATTGGCTAGCAATAGGAGTTGTTTGTTTGTTTGTTTGCAGTATTATATACTAAAATACAACAATACATACATATTATAATAATAATTTTCTGTTGTTATATATATATATAATAGAGTAAATACAAAGTTTATATGTATAAAATCATTTACACAATGAAAATTTAAAGTTATAGTATTTAAAACTACTATATGCACATATTTTGAGTTATAATTTAAATGATGAATGGTGGTGGGGCGTGTGTGTGGGGTCGGGGACAGTATAAATAAAATATAAACAAGAGATGGTTAAAGAAGAATAACAGAAAATGCTTCTTAAATGAAAGAGAATTTATAGTTAAAACTTGGTTTGTTTTGTTGTTGTTGTTTTATTAAACATCTTATGTTGTTTTGTTAGCTATTATGTTTGTGGTGGTGGAGGCCGTCGTTCATATTCGGCATTTGTCGCATTAGAGTTATTAACACCCGGCGGTGGTGCTGCATTACCACCACCACCTCCTCCTCGTCGATAGTTTTCGGGTGGATATTCTCGAGACCAATCACCATGATAACGTGGATCACCGGTATTTCCGCCTCTACCACCGCCACCACCATAACTGCCGTGTGGACCACCCATGCCGGGAGGTATTGCACCATTTGGCGGCATATAATACGGAGGCATATAATGATTTGGATAACCATGCTGAGGCGGATGTGAGGGTGGATATCTGAAAGTAAAATTAATATAGTTTTTGAAGATTAAAACATAATTAGCAAATTTCCTTTGAAATACACAAAATTTTTGTTTTGCTCTAAAACTCTTTTTCGCCGTAAATTTCTTCTAAATATTCCCTCTAATACATATGTTTTACTTTGAAATTCTCCAAAAATCTATTTCTTTTTACATTTTTATTAAAATTGAGTAAAATTGATATAAAAATCATATTCGCCGCAAAATATTTTTCAAATTTTAAACTTTTTTCAAAAATCTTAAAAAAATTTTTTGATTTTTTTGTCGTAAAATAACAAAAATGCCTTTTGCTTTAAAAATTTTACAAAAATTTTAAATTAAAAAAAAAATCGCCGTTAAACTTTTGGAAATTTTCATTAAAAATTTCCACTGAAAATCTTTTTCGCCGTAAAATTTTTACAAAAATTTTCTTTAATCGTTTTTTTTTTTTTTTTGCTTTAAAATTTGACAGGAAAAAACTTTTTTCGCTGTTAATTTCCTCTGAATATCTTTTTCGCAGCAAATTTCCAAAAAAAAAAAAAAAAAAAATCGGCGTAAATTTTTACTAAAAATCGTTTGTGACGTAAATTTTACTGAAAACTTTTATTCGCTGAAAAATTTCTCCAAAATTTTTAACAACAAAAAATTTAAATTTTTACTAAAATCCACTTTCGCCTTAATTAAAATTAACTTTTTTTACAGTAAATTTCTACTGAAATGTTTTCGCCGGAAAGTTTCACAAAAATTTTAATTTTTATTAAAAATGTTTAAATTTTTACCTTTTTTGCCACAAATTTATACAAAATTTGTAAAACATATATTTCTCCTCTGACATTTTCTACAATAATTTATTCCGCCGTAAATTAAAAACACTTTTTCGCCGTAAATTATTACATTTTTTTCGTCCTAAAATTCTACAAAAAAAAATAAATTTTCACTAAAAATGATTTTCGCCGCAAATCTTTACAAAAAACTTTTTTCGCCATAAATATTCACCAAAAACATTTTTCGCCATAAATTTTCACCAGAAACTTTTTGCCCAAAAATTTCACAAAAAATGTAATTTTAATTAAAAATATTTAAATTTTCACTAAAAGTCATTTTCGCCTTAAATTAAAATTCAAAATATTTTTCGCCTGAAATTTTCTCTAATAATTTATTTTGCCGTAAAATTTAGCCACTCAATTACTTTTGCCGTAAATTTTTTCTAAAAAAAATCGCCGTAATTTTCTACAAAAAAATCTATTTATGTTCTTTTTATTAAATTTTGTTTCAACAAAAAAAAAAAAAATCTTTTAAACCTACCTTCTTTTATCGACTCGTCTATCCCTATCACGATCTCTATGGTCACGATGATAACCACCACCAGGTGTACGATTGTTATAGCTGTCGTAACGTTCACGTTTATAATCGGAATTACCATAACTACAAAGAAAGATAAAGAAAAAGAAAAAAATGTTAATAAAACATTCCAAATCTCTTTAAAGAACATTCAAAACTTACCGATCACGATTATGACTCCAACGCTCGCCACTGCTACCCGAACCACCCTCAATATAAGGTGATGATGTAGTACCGGGCGGTAGACGTGAATTACCAGGATGCATGCGATTATTTGGAGTTGATGGTGAGTTAATAGAATTGCGACGATCACTGCTATTACTGCCTCTACTGGTATTTAAACCATCATGACTATTGCCGCCACCATAATAATCATCACGATGACGTTGTTTGTCACGGTTTCTGGAAAACATAAAAATACTCTTTAGGAAAAATGTTTAACACACAACCCCATATTACAATTAACTTACCTTCCCGGACCACCTTCCATATTCAGTCTTTTATATGACATTGATTTCATATCACCACCTTGCTGCATTGGTGTACCACAACCTCCAGCTGCATTATCCATATCATCACGTTTACGTTTCATAGGTGAATTATTATGACCCGGTGTCATACCCGCACCTGTACCCATGGGTAGTTTATGCTTATTCATAGGAGGTTTATTATTGCCCTGATCAATTTTCATAAATCTTTCTGATTTTGGTTTATCGCGTTCTCTATCCCTTTCTTTGTCTTTGTCTTTATCTTTATCCTTTTTCTTCTTTTTAACTGATTTATTTCTCTCTTCATTGCCATTTTGTGTTAGGGAGGAATCCTTGGATTTCTTAGCAGGTGATAGTGAGGCTTTAGAGTTCTTTTCGGGACTGGCAGTTTTATTAACACTAGATTCCTTAGAATCTTTCGATGCAACTTTGTACATTTTGAATAGTTTTTTAGCGTCAAATTCTACATTAAGTAAAGCAATGAATTAAAAAGTATTGTTTATATAGCAATGGATTGTGTTTATTACCTGTAAATTTGGAGACAAAATACCAAAGATTTGAACGCCACTCTTTCTTTTCCGCTTCTTTGGTATAGGCTTCTAAACAAACGTCTATTTGCCTGCCTATGGATATCAGACAATCTCTGGTGTGTTTAACTTGATCCTGTGTAGAAAGGCTAGAATCGGGACGATCTAATGCTTTGAGGGCCTTCTTAACTGGTCTCATTTTTTCTTTGCATTCGTTGAATATATTGGGATCTAAATCACCCAATACCTCTAAAGCTCTAGGCTCATTGTTCGCCGTAAAATGCATGGGTTTATTTGTGGAGTCTGCACCTGACGATTTTTTAGATTTAGCCGAGGATTTTGCGGAGTGATCTTTATCTTTAGCTGCTTTTTGTTTTTTCTTACTTGTGACATTCGTGGCATCCACATCATTAGATGTGGCATCATCAACTGACTCAGGTTTCGATTGACTCTCCTTTCTTTCCTTGCGTGTCTTTTTCTCAGTTGCTGTTGGGCACTCTCCGCCAGTTTGCATTGATTCCTCCGCCTCAGAAACATGACGTGCCTTACGTTCGGGTGTGGCATTATGTGATGCTGTGGAGGCGGTTGCTTTAGATTCTCTTGGCTTTCTAGGTTTACGCTGTTTGCGTTCTGCCCCTTTTTTAGTTTCGATATTCTTCTTGATGATTTTCAGCAGATATTCCGCTCTCGATTGCAAATGTTTCGCTTGTGGCTTACGATCGTCATTGTGCAGGATTTTTTCTGTTAACTTGAGACTAGGATCCATTTTCATTTGTTCCCAAGAACCTATGCCATATTGATAGATACCACACAGCAGTTTAGAGTCCTCTTCGTCTCCCCATTCAACATCGAAATTGGCTGGTCGTGTTTTAATGCTTAGAGACCAATTAAGTCTTTCAGCTGCGGTGCCAGGTATAACCCCATTTAAGGGTTTAAGTTCTTCTTCGCAGGACAAAAGAGTTTTAGCATTAAACGATACTCCACCCAATTTTACAGAAAATGTAGCTCGACTACGTTTTTGTTTACAAGTAGTTTCATCTCCAGCCGCTGTTGCGGAAGCCTCAGTTGCCTTCTTATTAGCGGCTGCATTACCAGCCAATTCGTCCTTATGTTCTTCCAAAAATTGTACACAGCGGTCGTGTAGCATTTCGCCAATACGTTTGAGTTCAGCTAAAGGTTTCTCTTGCAACTCAGCATCACAAGCTATAGCTTCTAGGCGTTCCAGGGGAGCAGGGAATTTTTTGTAGGATTTAATAAAACGTCTAATTTCGGTATCAGTAAAACCATGAATTTTTTCTTTCATTGCTGGTCTACCACGTTTGGATTTCGACTTGCCATCGCCATCATTACTGGCATCCGAGCCCAAGTCATAATCGGAGTCATTTGAATCATCGGCTTGACCCTTTTTACCACCTCTTCTACTGGGTGTATCGTTTTGGCTGTTTGCTGCTGTTTTTCTGCGCGGTGGCAAATACAAATCCTCCATTTCCTTGGCTTTTTCTTCATTTTCCACAACTCTACGAAAATCTTCGGGTATAATATCATCCCAATCTTTCGTATCTTCCTCTATGGCCTGATTTTCATTATCCTTGGTGGAGGTGTCGGGCTCTTCCTCAAATGCAGCTATACTGGCCACTTTAAATGCAGATAGCAAATCATCGCCCGGCATTTCGGGATCCTCATTGCGTGTTTCAGCTCGACGCAGTATCTCATCTATATCACATACTAATTCCTCATCATTTTCCTGCTCATCCTTAAACAATTCTTCAGCACCAAATTTCAATATAGCCGAGAGATCATCCTTATTGAAGGGAGTGTTGTTGGAAGAACCTGAACTTCCTCTATCCAATACAGTGCGCCCTGTGGTGTCCATACGTTGTATAACCAAATGATCTAAGACCATTTTCTGTTTAGCTCTCTCCACAATCTGTTCTTCTACTGAGCGGGCTGTTACCAAACGATAGATATTCACTTGATTTTTTTGACCTATACGATGCGCTCGGGCTTGAGCCTGTAGATCGTTTTGAGGATTCCAATCTGAATCGAAAATGATCACAGTATCGGCGGTAGCCAAATTAATACCCAAACCACCAGCTCTCGTCGATAAAAGGAAACAGAAATCTTGAGAACCTTCAGCATTGAAATGATCTAAAGCTTGTCTACGTATTTCACCCTTAATGCTGCCATCCAAACGTTGGAATGAAAAGTGACGCTTTTGTAAATAGTCCGCCAATATGTCTAACATGCGTACCATTTGAGAAAAGATCAATACCCTGTGGCCAGTTTCCTTAAGACGACACAGCAACTTATCCAAAAGCACAAGTTTACCCGAGCCTCTCAGTAGGGTTTGTAGAGCTTCATCCTGTTGTAAACCCATTAGTTCAAATTCTGAAGGTCTTATAAGGGCGGCATGATTACAACATTTCTTTAATTCTATGACAATATTCAAGAAGGTTGAGGTAGAACCTTTTTTGCCCTTACGCAAGGCATCAAAGTTCTTTGTGAGTATCCATTTGTAGTATTGTTTTTGCAACGCCGTCATTTCAACGCGCAATATTTGTTCAACTTTGGCTGGGAGAGATTTTTCGACATCTTTTTTAACACGTCTCAAGATATAGGGCTCCAATTGTTGATGGAGTTTAGTGTAGCCTTTGTCGGCGGCATTACCGTGTTCAACTTCAAAGTCCTCCCATGTAAGGAATTTTTCAGGCATTATAAAATGGAGGAGAGCCCAAAGTTCTTTGAGGGAATTTTGTAGAGGTGTACCCGTAATAAGTAATCTATGATTTGTTTCAAACTCTTTGAGCGATTTATAAAGTAGAGAATCATCGTTTTTCAAACGATGAGCCTCATCGACAAGCAATGCTGCCCATTGCAATGTACCCAGAAATAATTTATCCTATAAAAAAAATTAATGTGTGTTCTAAACTTAGTATATTTTTTATAATTGAATTAATAAGTCTTATATAGGTCAGCTTCAGTTCTATTTGAGTTCTAGTTCAGTTCTAGTTCAGTTCTAGTTCAGTTCTAGTTCAGTTCTAGTTCAGTTCTAGTTCCGTTCTAGTTCAGTTATAGTTCAGTTCTAGTTCAGTTCTAGTTCAGTTCTAGTTCAGTTCCAGTTCAGTTCCAGTTCAGTTTTAGTTCAGTTCTAATTCAGTTCTAGTTCAGTTCTAGTTCAGTTCTAGTTCAGTTCTAGTTCAGTTCTAGTTCAGTTCTAGTTCAGTTCTAGTTCAGTTCTAGTTCAGTTCTAGTTCAGTTCTAGTTCAGTTCCAGTTCAGTTCTAGTTCAGTTCTAGTTCAGTTCTAGTTCAGTTCTAGTTCAGTTCTAGTTCAGTTCTAGTTCAGTTCTAGTTCCAGTTCAGTTCTAGTTCAGTTCTAGTTCAGTTCTAGTTCAGTTCTAGTTCAGTTCTAGTTCAGTTCTAGTTCAGTTCTAGTTCAGTTCTAGTTCTGTTCTAGTTCAGTTCTATTCCAGTTCTAGTTCAGTTCTAATTCAGTTTTAGTTCAGTTCTAGTTCAGTTCTAGTTCTGTTCTAGTTCAGCTCTAGTTCAGTTCTAGTTCAGTTCTAGTTCTGTTCTAGTTCTGTTCTAGTTCTGTTCTAGTTCTGTTCTAGTTCTGTTCTAGTTCTGTTCTAGTTCTGTTCTAGTTCTGTTCTAGTTCTGTTCTAGTTCTGTTCTAGTTCTGTTCTAGTTCTGTTCTAGTTCTGTTCTAGTTCTGTTCTAGTTCTGTTCTAGTTCTGTTCTAGTTCTGTTCTAGTTCTGTTCTAGTTCTGTTCTAGTTCTGTTCTAGTTCTGTTCTAGTTCTGTTCTAGTTCTGTTCTAGTTCTGTTCTAGTTCTGTTCTAGTTCTGTTCTAGTTCAGTTCTAGTTCAGTTCTAGTTCAGTTCTAGTTCAGTTCTAGTTCAGTTCTAGTTCAGTTCTAGTTCAGTTCTAGTTAGTTCTAGTTCAGTTCTAGTTCAGTCTAGTTCTAGTTCTAGTTCAGTTCTAGTTCAGTTCTAGTTCAGTTCTAGTTCAGTTCTAGTTCAGTTCTAGTTCAGTTCTAGTTCAGTTCTAGTTCAGTTCTAGTTCAGTTCTAGTTCAGTTCTAGTCAGTTCTAGTTCAGTTCTAGTTCAGTTCTAGTTCAGTTCTAGTTCAGTTCTAGTTCAGTTCTAGTTCAGTTCTAGTTCAGTTCTAGTTCAGTTCTAGTTCAGTTCTAGTTCAGTTCTAGTTCAGTTCTAGTTCAGTTCTAGTTCAGTTCTAGTTCAGTTCTAGTTCAGTTCTAGTTCAGTTCTAGTTCTAGTTCAGTTCTAGTTCAGTTCTAGTTCAGTTCTAGTTCAGTTCTAGTTCAGTTCTAGTTCAGTTCCAGTTCAGTTCCAGTTCAGTTTTAGTTCAGTTCTAATTCAGTTCTAGTTCAGTTCTAGTTCAGTTCTAGTTCAGTTCTAGTTCAGTTCTAGTTCAGTTCTAGTTCAGTTCTAGTTCAGTTCTAGTTCAGTTCTAGTTCAGTTCTAGTTCAGTTCCAGTTCAGTTCTAGTTCAGTTCTAGTTCAGTTCTAGTTCAGTTCTAGTTCAGTTCTAGTTCAGTTCTAGTTCAGTTCTAGTTCTGTTCTAGTTCAGTTCTATTCCAGTTCTAGTTCAGTTCTAATTCAGTTTTTGTTCAGTTCTAGTTCAGTTCTAGTTCAGTTCTAGTTCTGTTCTAGTTCAGCTCTAGTTCAGTTCTAGTTCAGTTCTAGTTCTGTTCTAGTTCTGTTCTAGTTCTGTTCTAGTTCTGTTCTAGTTCTGTTCTAGTTCTGTTCTAGTTCTGTTCTAGTTCTGTTCTAGTTCTGTTCTAGTTCTGTTCTAGTTCTGTTCTAGTTCTGTTCTAGTTCTGTTCTAGTTCTGTTCTAGTTCTGTTCTAGTTCTGTTCTAGTTCTGTTCTAGTTCTGTTCTAGTTCTGTTCTAGTTCTGTTCTAGTTCTGTTCTAGTTCTGTTCTAGTTCTGTTCTAGTTCTGTTCTAGTTCTGTTCTAGTTCTGTTCTAGTTCAGTTCTAGTTCAGTTCTAGTTCAGTTCTAGTTCAGTTCTAGTTCAGTTCTAGTTCAGTTCTAGTTCAGTTCTAGTTCAGTTCTAGTTCTAGTTCTAGTTCTAGTTCAGTTCTAGTTCAGTTCTAGTTCAGTTCTAGTTCAGTTCTAGTTCAGTTCTAGTTCAGTTCTAGTTCAGTTCTAGTTCAGTTCTAGTTCAGTTCTAGTTCAGTTCTAGTTCAGTTCTAGTTCAGTTCTAGTTCAGTTCTAGTTCAGTTCTAGTTCAGTTCTAGTTCAGTTCTAGTTCAGTTCTAGTTCAGTTCTAGTTCAGCTCTAGTTCAGCTCTAGTTCTGTTCTAGTTCAGTTCTAGTTCAGTTCTAGTTCTGTTCTAGTTCTGTTCTAGTTCAGTTCTAGTTCAGTTCTAGTTCAGTTCTAGTTCAGTTCTAGTTCAGTTCTAGTTCTGTTCTAGTTCTGTTCTAGTTCTGTTCTAGTTCTGTTCTAGTTCTGTTCTAGTTCTGTTCTAGTTCTGTTCTAGTTCTGTTCTAGTTCTGTTCTAATTCTGTTCTAGTTCTGTTCTTGTTCTGTTCTAGTTCTGTTCTAGTTCTGTTCTAGTTCTGTTCTAGTTCTGTTCTAGTTCTGTTCTAGTTCAGTTCTAGTTCAGCTCTAGTTCAGTTCTCGTTCAGTTCTAGTTCAGTTCTAGTTCTGTTCTAGTTCAGTTCTAGTTCAGTTCTAGTTCAGTTCTAGTTCAGTTCTGTTCTAGTTCAGTTCTAATTCAGTTCTAGTTCTGTTCTAGTTCTGTTTTAGTTCTGTTCTAGTTCAAATATTTTATTTAGCTATAAAGCATTTTTTATAAGTTTTATTTTCGCCTTGTTTATTATATTCTTAATCCATCTATATTATTTATTATTAAACAAATTATTTCAAGCTCGAATTCAAATTTTCAAAAAAATTCTTTCCATTTAACAAAAAAATTAACACTCTTGTTGAACTTACCTTTAACACAATCTCATATGTTGTGAGAATGCAATTAAATTTCAGTCTTTTCGAACCATCAAATGTCCATTCATATTGACGTATCATTTCACGTGATTTAACATCACCTAAATATGTCACCACATTCATATCGGGAGCCCATAGCTCAAATTCACGCTGCCAAGCAGTCATTGTTGAGAGTGGCACCACACACAGGAATGGACCGTATAGATGATGCAATTTAAATAGAGCATATAAAAAGCATATAGTTTGTATGGTTTTACCTAAACCCATTTCATCGGCTAGAATTACGGAATTTTCTCGACACCACGAATGTAAAAGCCAATTTAAACCATCCATTTGGTAGTCACGTAGCGTTAAACCTTCTTGTAGGAAATCGGGTTGTACTTTTATTTTATAAAACTTTGGACGATATTTGAGAACTTTACAATGACGTGAAGGTGTACATTTGGAATTTTCACGTTCATTGAAATGATCAACACAGTGTTGCCATTTGCGCAACACTAAGTTGGCATCTTCCCAAGTGGCTTCGGCATAGGGCAGTGATTGCCATTTGCACAGGTATTCGCTGTCACCTTCAGGTTTTTCATTGCGTGATATGATGCGATCAACACTATTGTACGACTTAATTAAATCATTTTGTAATTCCAATTGACACTCGTAGTAGTCAATGTCTTCGGGACCAGCATGACGTCTCCAGTATTCTTTTTCCTGTTCTTTTTTAATGAAATTATCCAATTTTTTCATGCCTTTGACTTTTTGTTCTTTAAGTGTTGTTTCGGATTCCCAGGTGTTGTGTATGTAAGACCAGCCCTTCCATTTGATTAGATATTGTACTTCGGTATTTTCATAATCATTTTCATCAACACCTTCATTGGGATCACAGCCGCTTTCTTCAATAGCATAGACGGTAGTTTGATTGCCGGTGCAACCTTTTTTGCCCTGACGTCTCGCTAAAATGCGTTCAATGGTTTCACATTTTTCGTCTTCCTCTGCTGCCAGAGCGGCAGCTTCTGCTTGGCTCTCGTCATATTCCACTTCTAGTAAATCTTCAGAGTCAGTTTTATCATCTTCCGAAGCTTCCTTATAGCTTACTGCAGCCGCTGCCCGACGAGTTCCGAATCTAATGTTAACATTTTATTATAGTTTTAAAGCATTTTTTATAAACATTTCAAATAATTCAAAATAATTTTCAACAAAAATTACCTTTTTTCATCATTACTATCATCAGAGGTGGTGGATTTTTTACTACGTTTTTGTTGTTTACTTTGTTTTGAGGCAGGTGGTTTACGTCTTGGCGGCGTTGAATCTTCACTATCGCCCTCACTCTCATCACTACCCTCCGAATCCCAACTAAAAGATTTATTTGTAATTTTATTTTTTTTTAATTAAGACACATTTCTATTTTTGTATGATTTTTTAAAAATGTTTATTACTTTTGTTTTTTCTTCTTCTTTTTCACTGGTTTCTTGACTCTTTCGGCAGGTGCTGGCTTACGAGTTTGTCGAGCAGACGATCGTTTAGGTTGATAATCTTCTTCAGTATCTTCCTGTAAATGTTTAGTTTATTTTTAAGTTTAATTATTGCACTTTTGACTCAGTTTAGTTTAGGTGTTTATGTTAAACCTACACTACTGCTGCTGCTGCCCGATTCCGAGGCGGAATGAGCAGAAGAATTAGATGATTTTGAAGATCCTGCTGAATCAGATGCATCATCATCCGAATCACTGTGATTTTTCATGGATTCAAACGTCGTCGCAGGAGGCGCCGTCGTCGTCGTTTCTTTAGTATGATGTTTTTCTTCGTCACTATTGGAATCATCGTCATCATTTGAATCGTGGGAATCTTCATCATTGGTTGTATGTGAGGTATTATTATCTGTGGTGGCAGATGTTGCGGTTGTGTTATTGGTAGTATTGTGTTGCTGCTGCTCTTCTCCTCCTCCTCCTCCACCTCTTCTTGCTTCACAATCACTGCCGTTCTCGCCACCGCCTTCAGCCTGGTGATGTTTTGTTTTCTGCTCCTCCGTCTCATCATCATCCTCATCGTTTGATGAATTTGAATCTGAGTTGCTACCACTGTCGCTACCACTTTCATTATCATCAGAGTAGCCATTTGTCTTTGTATCTTCTTCTTCTTCTTGTTGTGCATCCATGGCTGATGGTGGAAGTCCAGCTTCTGTATTTTGTTTTGTTTGTGTAGCATAATGATTTTCTTGTTCTCTTTCGTGCTGTTGCTGTAGATGACCATCTCTGGCATTTTCATCATTATTATCATCATCATTATCTTCTTCTTCTCGATCGGGTGGTTCAGGTGATGTGTGTCCGTCACTGGAATTTGAAGATGATGATGAACTGTCTGAATCGGAATCAGATTCTGAGGAACTACCGCTACCACTACCTGAACCATTACGTTCATCGCGGTTATCATCATTATCTTCCGATCCTATACTGTTAAAGGATTCATTGTGTTCCTAAAATAAAATAAATAAAATAATAGTTTTTTTATGGTTTTTGAACGAGAAAGATTTCTCAGAAATAATTGAAAATACAGTATTGTTTGAAACGTTAGCAACTTTTGCTGTCAAATAAAAAAAAAAAAAAACAACTTTTTTCTTTTATTCCTTGTAGGACATGGAAAAGAATCCTAGTGGTCTCTTAGTGTTAAATAACTTTTCTGAACTAAACTATACAGGTTAATCGGATTTTATTTTCAAAAATTTTGTAAGATTTAATTTAACTAAATCCATTTAATTAAGAAAATTTTAAGAAATTTTCAATATTTATGAAAATAGCCGAAGTTTGATGTACCGACTTCATTTATTAATACGTTCTGTTTACGTTAAAATTGATTTAACTACCTTTTTGAAATACTTTTTATAACAACGTAAGAATCCTGTAAAGCTTACATTTAAAAACCATCTACTTCTACGAGGTAATATTTTGGTTTAAATAAAAAATCTAATAAATTTGAAATATTCTTTGTTTTATTTTTATATAAAATCTTTGGAATATTTCTCACGAGTCACCGGAATGACTCGATGACGATCGTATCCGAAGTCCGAGGTCGATTGCATCGTTTCATTATGACTGTTGCTCAATGATCTAAAACCCGATTTTAGAAACGAAACCCTTTTCTTAACTTTACAATTAAACACGAAATAGAAAAACAAGTCTTAAAATCCTTTACGATTTAGTTTAAAAACTCGTTTAGCAAAACGAAGAACTATTCTCAGCTTCAAAAATCGGTTGAATTTAAAAAATACACAAAAAGTTATTTCATACGATCATGGTTTAGAATGAATATTACTTTAAACTTTAAAAAACTTTAAAATAAATATATAACTAAAGCACATACTTTTAAAATATTCACAATTTAGTTTTTAAACTTGTATCTAAAAGCGAAGATCTTTTCATAACTCTATAAATCATTAAGATATTGAAAAATAGTTAATTATATAGATTTTATTTAATAAGATCCTTAAACTTGAAATTTTAATGATGTTGCAAAGTATTAGAAAATTGTTTATATTTCTAAAATTCTGTTAATAAATATGTAAATCGTTACTTAACTTCAAAAAATCTTTATAATTATTTAAATAATACACAAAAAAGTAATTAAATTGAATCATATGAAATGAAAAGATCCTTTAAGGTATAACAAAACTTATACTAGGAAGCGAAACGTTACTCCAAAACTCCAGTATAAATTCGTAAAAATTCAATTTTATAAATAATTTTCAAAGATTTTGCAAATCTTTATAACTTTATTAAATGTTAATACATTTTTGTGAACGATCTTTCAAATATATAAAATTTTAAAGTAATAACTACAAAATAAATAACAATTATAAAAAATTTATAAGATCCTTTACAATTTAAATGGTCAGTTGCAGTTACTAGTTTACAAAATAACTAAGATCCAAGCTTAGCTTTTGAAAATATTGTTAAAACGATGAAACTATAAACATAAAAGTAAAGTTTAAATCAAAAGGATTAATATAAATTATTAATTTCATATGCAATACACACAATCCTTAACAAAATCGTAGGATTTTTATAAAAAAAAAACTTCTAAAATTAGATAAATTTAAAATTTTATTAAAATTTAAATTAACTAAAAGCTTTATGGGAAGAGTTCGGCTCTTTTAAAAGGAAAATATTTAACAAAAACTTTAAATATTAAGGAATTGTAATAATAAATACATTGATCCTGTCTAGCTTTGGACGGACATTAAGATTTTTTAATTAAATGTTGTTAACAATTTGTGTCTAAAAAGAGATATATTACATTTTAGAACATTTATACTAATTCAAAACCAAATTCCTAACAAAAGCTTTAGTTTTGTATACATACTTAGTAGCCAAAATGGAATATCCTTTCCAGAAATTCCAGGATTTCAGAAAAATAGTCAAATTTGGACAAAATGTTTTAAAGATATATGGTGTAAAGGTAAGAAAGTCAAAGAATAATTAAGGAAATCTTCTAAAAATCTCTCTTTTACAACAAATTATCTCTAAGGCAACTCTAATCCTGGCCAGCTCTTAAGACAAACACATTTTAGGGAATAGTTCATTGGAAATTTCCAATTTTGAACATATATTGAAGGGTTTTACCTACAACCAGCTCATAGAAATCGAGTTCCTTGTTAAAAACTCCAACAGGCTTACTATTAACTTAACAAACAAACAAAATCCTCTCCAGAAATTCGAGAATTCTTTAATATATTTATTAAATTAAGGCTATAAAACCATTTCTAACTTATTACTTGTGTTAAAAACTTAAAAGCTCCTAACATTAAATCATTAAATTGTAGGATACCCGCTCAACAGGACGTTAAGCCGGTTAATTTTTAAAATAAGGAAATATCTTAATTCTGGAGAGGATTTAATGGACTCTTAGGCTTTTAAACATGGAAAAATCTTAAGTTATCAACAAAAAATAATAAAAACACAAAATTCCTTTAAAAACTCAAGGAATTATGAGTAAAATCTCTATATTCAGCCTTAAATATTCCGTAGAATCTTGAAAAAACTGCTAAAATCTCGAGAAAATCGAATTGTGACCACATTTGAAAAATTTTCCATACTAAAATTGATTACGTAATCAATGCAAAAATTTGAAATTTCAATGAATTTAACGAAAAGGATATAGTTTTTGGTAACTTTTTACATAGAATTCACTGTAAATAAACCAAAATATTGAAATTTAAGTTAAAATTACTAAAATGGGTCCCTCAGGGATTTTCAAAATTTTCACGTTTTTGGAAAGCTAGTTTCCTCTAGAAACGAAATCTGTCGAGAAAATTGTGAAACAATAAGGATAAAGTTAAAAAATTGGCAAATTTTTAGCAACACCTCTTAGACTATATAGAAATATAAACATTTTAGCCAGAGGAGTCTCAAATGAGACTCCTAGATTTGCCGTTGATTTGCAGCCACACCCATTGTCCGGAACACAATATTTTTAATAAATTTCATAAAATAAGTTATTGAAAACAGGAAAATATTGAAATTAACTAAATATTTACACTTTTAAGCGCCAAAATTACAAAAATTCAACACAATTTCATATTTTTCGTTTAACACTCACCTGGCTCATGATATTTTTTAATGGTTATACAAGTTTTTCTTATAGCAGACATTAATTATTCACTTTTTTTATAAAATATTTCAATATTTTTCAATATTTATGCACTTAAATTCAATTTGAAAAGTTTTGAAAAAATTTTTCACCAACTCAGCACACAAAAAAATTTTTCACGTCGTCTTCGTCCTCCATTCACAAGTCATTTGTCGAAAATCGCCATTTTGTTTTTTTCGTAATAAGAGTACCATGCTGTCTAGTGCTGCCAGATTCGCTTATTTGAGGGTCACCAGCGTACCGCATTAAGGTTTTTCGAACATCACTTACTTATATGGTAATCTTGGCTATTTTTCATTTCTTCTTTTTTTTTGCACACTGAGCTTAATTATAATTTGTTTTTTTTTGAGCACTTTTATTTGTTTACAAAATTTTCACTATTATTCTATTTAAATTTGTTTTAAGCTGCTTTTATTTTCGCAGTTAGTTTAATTTTTTGTGTTTTCTTTAGGTTTTTATAAACGTTTTTTTGTTTTACTTTAGCTTGATTTTCACATAGCAGCCATTTTGTACGAATGTAATTATGAATGTCATACCAAGATGCCATACTTTTTTTATTTTGTTGGTGACAGTTTTAACATTGCCGTATTATTAAAGCGTCTTCAGAGCCCTGCGCCGACAAATATTAACGGCGGCGGCGGCTTAAAATCGACTGTAAGCCGGCTAAGTTTTCAACTACGTTTAGTTTTTTTTTATTTGCATGAGAAATTATGCATGGATGAATAAAAAATTCTTAAAAATTAAAAACAAATCCTTTCTCCAAGTTTTACTAGGATCTGCCGATATTTAACATTATCTTCCATATAAAACATCTTGCAGAAAATCAGTTTCTAAAAAATTTTGCATTACGAAAATGATCAATAACGTAAAAACAAAGATATTTTATTTGTTTATTTACTAGCTATACCCAGTGTGCTGTGCTACCCTAAAAGCAATATAAATAAGAATCCTACTTAACAATTTTGATGATTCTAACTACAATGGTTTTCCAGATATACAATTTGTTACATATGGGAGATTCCACGCAAATTATTGCAATTTCGCCAATTATTCCGAACGTTAATTAAGATTTTAATTTAATCTATGAAAAATTTGAATAATCTAATAGTTTCCATATATACAAAATTTTGTATTTAATTCATATGGGAAGTGCCAAGCTCCCCATTGAAAGTCCGCCCGTTATTCTCTAAATGTTCTTCAGTAAAATTTGAAGATTGAAAAATATTCCAAAAGTTTCACTTTGAAAACATTATTAGAATGTATGAAAACTCGCAACTCTAAAGGAAGACTATTCCTATTTTAGTGGTATTTTATGATTAAAATAAGTAAGAAGTAAGAGTTATATTAGGCAAATCATATGTCGTAAAAAAGCAAATTTCGGAAGTGGTCCGATCATTAGATTAATAAGAACGTCACCGTGATTTTCAGATTAGGGACTTAAATGTGGAATTGGATCAATAATATATATAATTTAAAGTATTTTTTTTTTTTTAATCTACCATAATTCTATCATAATGATAACTTTTGGAATGATGTATTAGCTATAAACTGATTTTCTGTAAGAGGGTTATATTGGCGGACCGATCCTCATAATTTTATTTTTCATAAATGTGGGTTTCGGTTCCTAAAAATGTTTATTTCGTCGACATCGACATTTGAAAGCCATTTCACTCAAGTTTTATGTTTTTACGTTCATTATAAAAGAAAATCCAAATAGTACAAGTTGAAGAACGAAAAAGTACCAAAAAGTCCCGTTTTATATGTTCTCACTTACTCCATGTTCAATATTATAGAAAATTCAAAAAATACCTTTTGAAGAACGAAAAAGTACCAAAAAGTTCCCTTTTATATGTTATTACTTAATCCGGGCTGTACATTCCTAAATTCATGTTTCTAGGTTCAATATTATAAAAAATTCAAAAAGTACGAGTCGAAGAACGAAAAATAGAAAACTCAAAAAGTACCTTTTGAAGAACGAAAAAGTACTAAAAAGTCCACTTTTATAGATTCTCAAGTGCTTAATTACATGTTTTTAAGTTCTAAGTCAAAAAAGTACCAGTTGCAACATCGTATTGGGAGCCCGTTATTATGTATTCATATGTATAAGTTAATAAACCAAAAACAATGTTTTATAAAAAAGTATCAAAAATAGGTACAATTTTCACCCCTTAAACGTCCGAATATCCAAAAAGTACTAAATTTATATTTTTATTTGTTCGTCAAGTTATGAAGGATTCAAAAATATTTTTTTTTTGAATGTTCTCGGTTTAAAAGATACATGGGGTGCAAAAGAAGTACCAAATTACAGTTTCTACAAGTTAATTCCCCAAAGGGGCCGAATTTGAAAAAAGTACCAGACACCTGCCCGCTTATTTTTTAAATGAACGATAAGCTTTAAACTGTTTTTGTATCTTTTATAGTTTAGGAGATATGAGGTTACCGAATTTACCCGTTTTTACCCTTTTTTACCCCCTAAACATTCGAATTTCCAAAAATCCCTTCTAAGTGGATCTATTTGGTGGGAGACCAACCTCTTGTCTAAATTTCAGCTCTTTAGCTAAAACCGTTTAGGCTCTATTAGGGTTCTATAAATCGACTTTCGAATAATCGAACAATCGACTTTTTGTCGAAAAAAGTCGAAGTCGACTATTTTGTTCCAAAAAAGTCGATAACTCGACTATCGTCTATGAATAAAAGTCGAAATAAGTCGAAAAGTCGAAAAAAGTCGATAAGTCGAAAAAATGTCGAAAAGTCGGAAAAAGTCGAAAAGTCGGAAAAAGTCGAAAAAAGTCGAAAAATAGAAAATAGTCGAAAATTTTAAAAAAGTGGAAAAGAGGTCAAAAAAAATAGTCGGAAAAACTCGAAAAAAGTAAAAAAATAGTCGAAAAAAAGTCGAAATAAGTCGAAAATAGTCAAAAAGTCGTAAAAAATCGAAAAGTCGGAAAAAGTCGAAAAGTTGAAAAAAGTCGGAAAAAGTCGAAAAGTCGAAAAAAGTCGAAAAAAGTCGGAAAAAGTCGAAAAGTCGAAAAAAGTCGGAAAAAGTCGAAAAAAGTCGAAAAGTCGGAAAAAGTCGAAAAGTCGGTAAAAATCGAAAAGTCGACCATATATAAAATACTAAAAGTCGAAAAGTCTAAAAGTCGACTTTTAAGTAAATGAAAAAGGTCGAAAAGTCGAAAAATCGACTTTTCATAAAATGGAAAAAGTCGAAAGGTCGAAAAGTCGACTTTTAACTAAATGCAAAAAGTCGAAAAGTCGACTTTTCGTTTCAACTATAGAACCCTAGGCTCTATGATGAATCAGTCAGTCAGAGTCAGTAACGTTAGAATTTTATATATGTATTATGTATATAGATTTCGTGCAATTATACTGTAAAAACATTGTAATGTTCGACTTGAATTCAAGTTTCGTTTTCACTGGAGAATGCTATTGAATTAAAGTGTATTTCAACACTTGAAATTTGAATGTTTGACTGGAATTAAACTTGTTTTAAACTTTAATTCCAGCAAGAATGCTTATTTGGTATAGTGTGACAACTATAAGGGACCTAAAGTCGACATAAAGCCCACAATTGGTTAGTACCAATATTTTGCCTAAACAACATCTACATACCTAGCCAGGTTATATCCTCTAGGTCCGTGAAGACATTCTCTACAAAGCTATAAATTTGTATAAAAGGCGGCTTAACAATTGTTTCTTGTAAATATTCGGCCACCATAGTGTTTGGAGACAACAAGAGCTTCACTGAAAGGCACACCAGACAGACATCGCGCTCTATTATGGGTGTATGATAGTGATCCTGCTCAGATCAATGGTATAATAATAAGTATGTATCCCAAGGATACCCCCTGAATACGGCAATCAACTACCGTCCATTGCCTCTAGGTGATAATATACCATGTCACCACTAGCCGACCGACCACCACCCGCCTAGGTGACTAGGGAGGTATATATGTATGTGGGCATTCTTCCAGGAGACCATCATGATGCCTCCTCATTCTTGAAAAGAAAGACGTTCTTTATAGACAAATAAATAATTAATTAACACCATTACTTACATTTTTTAATCTTCTAGATCTTACAAATATGCCAAATATAGATTTCGATAAACACTTTTGGGTATTAAACGAAAACAAACCCCGCCTTAAAAAAATTTCATCATAATTATTAACAATTTAACTAAATTCAATCCAACACTTGCTGTTTCTTTGTACAATGACCCTCGGTATAGTAGTATAGCATACAATCTTATTAATTTCAATTTTTAGTAAAAAATTATTTTTTTATTTCATTTTAGATTTTCGCACACACACAACAACAGATTTTTTGTGGCAAATAAAAAATGCAGAAAACAGCTTGGCGCGAAAAATTCTAGCAGAATTTCTTTTCGCAGTCGGCAGAATTGACATCAACTGCACTTCCCATTTGAAATACACATGTTCGATACCCTAGCCCTTTACGGTATGACATACCAGCAATGTAAAAAGCTGTAGCTCCGTTGACGTCAACGAAGCTGGTTTGAAGTCAAAGCAGCGACTCGAATTAGGCGCGAAAACACGAAAATATCTGAGGCGAAGCATATACATCGAACGTTGAGCAAAGTTCTACACCGGCCAAATTTCAATGAGCGGCTTATTATTAGATAAAAGAAAACTTGCTTAAATGAAAACAAATTAATTTTATATTGTAAAATTGCACAAATTTAGCGAAAGTATTCTGTAAATTGTACAAAATATGGCGAAATTTTCAAGCCTACAGCTGAAAAATTTTCGTCGGCGGCGGCTTTGACATTTTGTTCGGCGGCTAGACTTAGTCGGCTTAAGCCGAATCGGCGCAAGTCTCTGAGCGTCTTTCGAAATTATATACAGTTTTTAATCATTTTTATAATTTCATTTGTTTATGTTTGAAAGTAATAATATTATTGTAAATTTTGTTTTAATTTTATTAAAATTTTAACAAAATATTTTAAGTTTAAAAAAATAAAGTTAAACTCGTTTTAATTAATTGCGTATGGCAATGTCAAATTACTGATAACAGCAAACCAATATTTCCCACTATTTTTTTACTACTGGCAACAACAACAACATTTTTTTTCTTTATTTATAAACAAAGCCAGTCAGCTGTTGTCAAATATCTTATCAATGCTCATTTTAAAAACCGAAAACAGTTTGAAAATTTCAGCAGCTTACGAAAATTTAAAAGGATTTTATTTAAAAATAACTACAGATTAATAATATTTATAATATTTATTAACTAGTGAAAGCAAAGATAATTATTGACATCAAGGCAAAAGCCTTAAAATTTTATTTTTTTTAACCAAAAGAAAAATTATATAAACTTTTAAAATGTTTGCCTTTAAATTACCGCTGTTAAAAATTTGTCAACCCTTAAGGATTATAAGAGAAATGCATATCAAACGAGTGGATTTATACCGGGTAAACTTAAATTTCCACAAAAAGTATGAAAAATTCTAATACAAGTTACAATTTTAGAAATGCTGTCAAATTTTGGGTGTGGAGGAGTC